CTTCAGTACTTGGATTATCATGTTTTATACCGTGAAAAAAATATCTTCTTCATCCCATTATTTCAAATATCACAATTTCGATTTTCCCACCGATCTTTAGTTTTTTTATGCTACCACCAAGTCTCTCTATATATCTCTTCATTTCGAAGAAATCAATATGTTTTTATAGGTATTGTTTTTATTCTTCTTTCTTCTATTCCCAGATCGAATACTCTTCACATAAAGTGTCATATATTGTCAATTCTATATTATCTCTCTGAATTTTTATTATAATAAGTCATACTCATAACACACTATAAAACCTTTGTAAATGAGCCATAAAAAAGGTCTTCATAATTAGGAATCCAAAGTTGTGTCTTAACATTCCACATCTTTTTAATTTACTACATAATAGAACTTGAGCATCCCATGATAAAAATATGATATCTCTCAACTCATAAGGAGTTAATATTCGAATCTATTTGAGTATTGAAATAGATTAAAAATATATATATATATAATAATGCTCAGTTCTATCCCTAAATCGTACCATTTAGTGAATATTCATTTTAGTGACATTTAAATCACAATGCAATTTTTTCGGTTGAAAATCAAGTTGAGTACCTCTCAATAAAAACTTTGTTTCTCTCAATCCTCAAATAATTTATTCTTGAAATATTTTGTGTTGAAAACTAGACTTAAAACCAAATCACGACATCAAAGTTTGCATCCCAAATAATACTTTTCTTCTTATAAATAAATAAGTGACATTCACGTCACAAAATAAAACATACTATCTAGTAAAATTATATTTTCTCTCTACCATAATGGAGTTTTCCATTCAAACCAAATTTGTTTGAAATTAGACACATAATAGTAACACATATATTTTCACAAGCCTTATATTACTCTGTTAAGTAGGCTTGATAAATATAGTTATTGATATCTTCAATGAATGACATACCAAATTACAGAAAATTCAGGATGACATCTCTTCAATCCAAAAGTGTTATTCTTCTCTTCCCATAGATATTTATCTCTCAAATAAATTTTATTACAAATTATACTCAGAATGAAAATCTAAAAACTTAGTGTGAACCATAAATCATTATGTTATGAATATAAATTAAATCTTAACTTCCAAGTCATGAAAATAATTTTCGTTGCAGAAAAAAATACTTGTGCATCATTCAATAAATTGATCATATATTTTCAAACCACAAGGACTTTCTTGATGAAACTTTTTTTGTTTGAAAGTATATTCAATTTTATGAGTCAATATCCAATTTCCGCTAGAAATAAAATCATATGATTGGTAAGAAAAATCATAGAACTCAATGGACAATTATTGAATTTTGCATGGTCAGAACTGACACCCTTCATTATTGAATCCATAACTCTCAATTCTTATAGGATCTCGCATTGAAATTTTGCAGGTAAATCCTACTATTAAAGATACAAAATATCACTAAAGTATGTAATAGAAAAATACATCATTATATTTTTCATATAACTACTCCAAAATAGCCCAGAATACTCATTATGCAGAATGCCTTTTCAGTGTTGGAATATTTAAATAATTATTAACCGTGGGTATATTTTTTGACCACAAAGGTCATTGATTTTCTTATGTCTCATTCCCAAGCTTGATCTAAACTCAATAAAGAGAAAAGATAACTATTGGTATCAAGCATCAATAGCTATGATACCAATGAAAGAAATACCTATATAATATTTTACCGGGGAATACAATTTTTTTATTTTTTTATTCACCCCTTTCTTTTGGCAAAAGATCACTTACATGTGGTCTTTATTATAATAAGAAAAATTTCAAAATAAAATCAACATAACAATAAAACCAAGATCTTAACAACTTTATGCCATTGAAACAACTATGCATTATGCTTGAGAATAAAATATAAGATTGCAAGAAACAAAAAGAATAGTGCCGGAGATTATGTCGATCGGGTTTATTACACCCCATACCGAGTCACCACAATCCGATGGCGTTGGATCAACGATCTAGCTTCAATCTCGAACTGAAAAAGCAAATTGGCCAAGTCACACAAATGGAATATGAACCCCTTTAATCACAAACTCAAACCCTATGTAAATTCTCTTAGCAACCTAATTTGAGAGAGATGGATTCTTTTTTTGCTAAACCCTGAAACCCTTAGCCATAAATCCATATTTGAGAGATATGAGAAAGAATAACTTCATAACCTAAACCTTTAGGTTATTTCACAATGTGGGAGATATATCAAACATGAGAGAGAGAAACTTTCTTAAGAGATATATAGAAAGGTAAGGTGTAGAGAATTTGGGTAGAGACAATCCCTTTTTTATAGGTTTGAACAAGATTAGGGTTTTTTTGGCTTGCCTCTTATTATGAGATTGAACATAGACCGTCGATCAATGGTGACTTATGGGGTGAGAGATCTGAGCCATCCATTCCATAGATAGGCCATCAACATTATGGAAGATACATAAACCATTATCTCCCTTTCCTTAACCATTTTCCCATCAATAGAAATTAGATAAATTAAATATAATTAAAATATTATGTATTTCGTAATCTTTCACAAAATATTCCAAAGATATATCAAGTCAATATATACTTTCAATATTTGGTTAATATACGATCAAATATATTCCATATTTTATTTAACAACATGCCATAACATAATATTATAAAAACATGAAATAACTTAAACTTCAAGAAAAAATCTAAGGGGTGGGGCGTGCCACCCATGTGTGGCACATGTTGGCCCCACCCACTTAACATATGGCGGGCCCATGTATACTATTGGCCCCTTTATGATATTTTATATAATTTTAAATTATAAAAAAAAAATCTAAAATATTATTTGAATTTTATAATTTTGTAAAATCAATATCTTCATTTTTATAAGTCCAAAAAAAATTATAAAAAATATCAAATGACTCATAAAAATTCAAATAATAATTCTAAAATAATTTATATCATTAATTAAATATAATTAAATTAACTTGATGGGAAATGGATCCATATGGTTAAGGAATTTAATCTGCAATCATAAGGCACTCCACCTTCAACTGTGGACTACAGACTACAGACTACACTTCCCTAATCGAACCGCCCCAGTGCTTCCCATAACCCACAGTCCAAACAGGGGCTCATTAACAGGTCACCAAAGTTTGACGGATGAGCCAAGGGGTCGCAATCCCAATATGTGGATTACAGGTCCTCCCTTAGAGACAAGTCAAGGTCACTAAGACCTTATGCGACCACAACTCTATGGTGCATAGGGGTATCTCTCGCACATGCATACGCTTCACCCTAAAAGGTGGATTTATGGCTCCCTAACGATCTATCAATATGCATGCTGTGTGATGGTACATTGATGAGGTTTTGGCCCCTATATGTGTAGGTCACCATCACACACAAGGTCACACAGTCCCTCAGCTCACTCATCTGGGCATGTTCTCTGATCTCATCAAGGGCTAACCTATAAACCATCATCAGTTTGTTCTTCATGCCCAGGTAGCATAGGTTTTTCCCAACCGACTGGCTTATATAGTTAAGCACAGATCGGTATCAGCAAACCATCGTTTGCTGAGTATGGTATACGAGAAACCACACTCCCACTGAGTTCATGTTCCACTATATCATTTCATTTTACAATCACTCATAAGGCCTTTAAAGGCCACATAAACCCAACAATTTTATATCCGTTATGACAATATTTTGTCAACATTTTTCAGATTCTCTAGATCCGAAATTTAGTTTTGCAAAAACTAAGTATGATTGAATTTTTGGATTTTCAAAATCCATTATTTTTTAATTTTTTGAATTTTTAAAATCCAAATATTACAAAATACAAAATCTGCCATTTCAGAGTCCGAATGTTTTCCAAACTTTGAAGGTCTGATTTTATTCTTATTATTATTATTTTGGATCATAAAGATCCGAAAATAGGGCAATTTCGTACCTTAAAATTCTGATTGTTTTTTTTTAGATCGTGAAGATAAAAAAACAAGGCAATTTTGAATAAAACTTTGGGGGTCCTAAGAATGAGTATACATGTAGTTTTCAAAATTTTGAATGTAATAAGTATAAATTTTAGGTGAAATTGTAATAATAATATTAAAATAATGGATATATGTGCACTTTTCTCTTATTTTAAATTTGGTGCTTTTGAAATTGGATAAGGAAACCACTATCTTCATTTTTATGGAAATTTATTATTTTCTACATAAAAAAATATAAATTTTATGATATAGATGAAAACATTTTTAAGAAAATTGATGGTCCAAATAATACATTACAAGATGCACTATCTTCAAAAGTTGAAATCCATTTTTTTCTCATGTCCAAGCATTTTGATGTCGAGATGATCAATTTGAAGATATTTAGGCATCAAACAACCTCTTACAGTGAGATTTTTGAGATGCTCTCTAATTTGATTGTTTAGACCCTATATAAATTTGTTCTAAAAGAAAGATGTTTGTATCATAAATAAAGAAAATAGTAGGAAAAGCTACCTTTCTTTCCTCGCTCACTAGTGATTAGGAAATGACATTGTTTGATATGGGTCTAGTTATTCAAGAGTAAGACCTCTTTTTCTTCCCCACTTTACTTCGAAAAGGGAAAGCATCCGGTCCACACATATAGATAGCTAGAGTGGTGCACAAGCAACCTTTCAATGCATCCGGTCCACACATATAGATAGCTAGAGTGGTGCACAAGCAACCTTTCAATGGCTGAGATTTCATAACGTTATTATAAATTAATTGTATTTTATTTATATTTATATTTACATATTGTTTTATCTAAATTTAATTATATAAATTTACAATGTTTAAGGTGCACTTTAGAAAGGACGCACAAGTACATATGAGTGTAACTCATAGTAACCCTATCCATTTTAAATTTCATATTTGTTTTTTTCATATTTATGAGTAGCTTGGTTTAAATGATGAATCCCAAAAATTTTGTACAACAAATCCGTGAATTTTATAGGGAGGCCGTACATGTACATATGAGACGGCTGACTCATGTAAACCCTATCCATATAAAGAAGAAGAAACTAAGACTTGTTACAGTGTTTTTTTGAAGAAGAGACCCTCCATAAACAAGGGACTCATTCGCGTGGTTCTTGTTGTTTAGACCGGTAGGACTCATTCGCGTGGTTCTTGTTGTTTAGACGGGTAACTAAAAATTATTTTTGGAATTATGTTTTTAGTTAAGTTTTGTGCTTATTTCTCGTAAATCTGTGTTTTTTTCCCCTGAAAATTGGAGCTTTTTGTTTTTTTTGTTTTTGTCCGTCACGTTGTTTTTGCAAGTATAACCTCAGTTGATTTGAAGAGATTCTGGTTCTAATATCCAATTCTTTTTAAAATTGCAAGGATTTGCTTATTTTTTGAGCAAAAATATCAGTTTAAAGAGGAGTAAATTATTTTGCTGTAGATTCTATGGTTTATGATTAGAATCCGTGATGTGTTTCTATTTACTCATACTTATCTCAGCACTTCTTGCCCTGCTGGTTTTACTGATGTTGTCATTTCTCATTGCTGTTGCAGCCAAAGGGAATGATACACAATGGCGACCTCAGATGAAGAGGTTGCCAGGATTCAGGAAGAGAGGAGGACGAAGGAGAAGGAGCTCGCTTCCCTAACTAGTGTGACATTTGATGCCGATCTCTATGGTGGGGGCAACAAATTTGAAGGCTATGGACTCTCGATCCCTGTCAATGACGAGGAGGAAGAAAATCTAGACGCAGGTGAGCGTGCAGTTACTCGCAAACTTGCTTCATACATTGCCCCAAAATCTGTCTTAAATGAGATGCCCAAAGTGGGCGAAGAAGATGACATGGGTTTCAAAAAACCCCAAAGAATCATTGACGGAGAAGATGATTATAGAAGGAGAAGGCTCAATCGAATAATCTCGCCTGATCGGAACGATGCCTTTGCGATGGGAGACAAGAGCCCTGATGAATCAAAGAGTGGCTTTGCCAAAATCATGCAAGAGGAATTTTTGAAGAGAGAGAAAGACAAGGAAAGAGAGGAGAAACTGCTTGCGAAGAAGCAAGAGCAAGATGAGAAAGAGAAGGCAAGCACGGGTGTTTCTCAAGCTGGGGGTGCTAAAAACGAAGAAATCGATGGGACCAATCTCAAGAGGCTCAAGAAAGTGTGAAAAAACCAAAAGTTTCAGATTGGGATGCACCCGATGCTACACCAGGGATAAGCCGATGGGATGCTACTCCAACTCCTGGTCGAGCTGAAGCTGCAACTGCAGCTAGTGGGTCAAGGCGAAATAGCTGGGATGAGACACCAACACCAAGGTTGGCTGATTCCGATGCTACACCAGTTGGTGGTGTCACGCCTGGTGCCACACCAGCAGGTATGGCTTGGAATGCCACTCCAAAGCTTTCGGGTATGGGTACCCCAACACCCAAAAGACAAAGATCTCGATGGGATGAGACCCCTGCAACAATGGGTTCTGCTGCTCCTCTTCCCGGTGCTACCCCAACTGCCTTTACGCCAGTTGGGGCTGTTGATCTTGCTACTCCAACACCTGGTGCCATTAATCTAAGAGGAGCGATAACACCTGAACAGTATAATTTGTTGAGGTGGGAGAAGGATATAGGTGAGTGGAATAGGCCTCTGAGTGATGAGGAGTTGGATGCGACGTTTCCTCAAGAGGGTTATAAGATTTTGGAGCCACCGGCTTCATATGTACCTATAAGAACACCAGCAAGGAAGCTCCTTACCACCCCAACCCCTATGGGTACGCCTTTGTATTCGATTCCTGAAGAGAATAGGGGCGAGCAGTTTGATGTGCCCAAAGAGGCTCCTGGTGGGCTGCCATTTATGAAGCCTGAGGATTATCAATACTTTGGGGCTTTGTTGAATGAGGAAGATCAAGAGGAATTGTCAACAGAAGAGCAAAAGGAGAGGAAGATCATGAAACTCCTGATGAAGGTGAAGAATGGTACCCCCCACAAAGGAAAACAGCACTTAGGCAGCTCACTGATAAGGCTCGAGAATTTCGGGCAGGTCCACTTTTTAACAGAATTTTGCCCTTGCTAATGTCGCCTACTCTCGAGGACCAGGAGAGGCATCTTTTGGTTAAAGTCATCGATAGGGTGCTTTACAAGCTTGATGAACTAGTCAGGCCTTTTGTGCACAAGATACTGGTCGTTATTGTGCCACTCCTAATTGATGAGGATTACTATGCTAGAGTTGAGGGAAGAGAGATTATTTCGAATCTTAGCAAGGCTGCTGGTTTGGCTACCATGATTTCAGCTATGAGGCCTGATATTGATAACATGGATGAGTATGTAAGGAATACAACGGCAAGGGCCTTCAGTGTTGTGGCTTCTGCCCTTGGTATTCCTGCACTATTGCCCTTTTTGAAGGCAGTCTGTCAGAGTAAGAAATCATGGCAAGCTAGGCACACTGGTACTAAGATTGTGCAGCAGATTGCTATTCTCATGGGTTGTGCAGTTCTTCCCCATCTGAGGTATTTAGTGCAGATCATAGAGCATGGGTTGAATGATGAGAACCAAAAGGTGAGAACCATTACTGCTTTGTCACTTGCTTCCCTTGCTGAAGCTGCTGCTCCTTATGGTATTGAGAGTTTCGATTCAGTTTTGAAGCCTTTGTGGAAAGGTATAAGGTCTCATAGGGGCAAGGTCCTTGCTGCTTTCTTGAAGGCCATTGGTTTTATCATCCCCCTCATGGATCCAATGTATGCCAGCTACTACACAAAGGAAGTTATGGTCATATTGATTCGAGAGTTCCAGTCTCCGGATGAGGAGATGAAGAAGAATGTTTTGAAGGTTGCTAAGCAGTGTGTGAGCACTGAGGGGGTGGAGGTTGATTTTATCAGGACCGAGGTTTTGCCAGAATGTTCAGAAACTTTTGGGTCAGGAGGATGGCTATGGATCGTCGCAATTATAGGCAGTTGGTCGATACCACTGTTGAAATTGCAAATGACGATGGTGTGGCTGATATTATCGGAAGGGTTGTTGGGGACCTCAAAGATGAGAGTGAGCCATACAGGCGTATGGTTAGGGAGACGATCGAGAAAGTGGTTGCTAACTTGGGGGCTCCCGATATAAATCCTCGCTTGGAGGAGAACTTAATCGATGGAATCTTATATGCTTTCCGAGAGCAAACAAGCGATGATGCCAATGTTCTGCTCAATGGGTTTGGAGCAGTGATCAATGCCCTAGGGCAGAGAGTGAAGCCCTTCCTGCCCCAAATATGTTTTATCATTAAATGGCGTTTGAATAATAAGAGTGCAAAAGTGAGGCAGCAAGCTGCTGACCTTATTTCTAGAATTGCAGTGGTTATGAAGCAATGCCAAGAGGAACAATTAATGGGTCACCTGGGTGTGGTGCTTTATGAGGATCTTGGAGAAGAATACCCTGAAGTCTTGGGTTCGATACTTGGGGCATTGAAGGCTATTGTGAATGTTATTGGAATGACAAAAATGACTCCTGCCAACAAAGATTTGCTCCCCCGATTGACCCCCATATTGAAGAATCGACATGAGAAGGTGCAAGCGAACTGCATTGACCTTGTCGGAAGGATTGCCGATCGCGGGACAGAGTTTATGCCTGCAAGAGAGTTGATGAGGATTTGTTTTGAGCTTCTTGAAATGCTCAAGGCCCACAAAAAGGGAATCCAAAGGGCCACTGTTAACACCTTTGGGTATATTGCTAAGGCCATAGGGCCACAAGATGTCTTGGCCACCCTTTTGAACAACCTCAAGGTTCAGGAGAGGCAAAATCGTGTGTGCACCACTGTGGCGATTGCCATTGTTGCTGAGACCTGTTCCCCGTTCACAGTCTTGCCCGCTCTGGTGGATGAGTATAGGGTTCCCGACCTTAATATGCAAAATGGGGTTCTCAAATCTCTCTCTTTCTTGTTTGAGTATATTGGGGAGAGGGTAAGGATTATATATATGCAGTGACTCCATTGCTTGAGGATGCTCTAATGGACACGGACCTGGTTCATCGGCAGACTGCTGCCTCTGCTGTGAAGCACATGGCTTTGGGTGTTGCAGGGTTGGGTTGTGAGGATGCTTTGGTTCACCTGCTGAATTATGTGTGGCCAAATATATTCGAGACCTCGTCCCATGTAATTAATGCAGTCACGGAAGCAATTGAAGGGATGAGAGTGGCTCTGGGTCCTGCTGCTGTTCTACACTACTCTCTTCAAGGGTCGTTTCATCCAGCTAGAATAGTTAGAGAGGTTTATTGGAAGATCTATAATTCTTTGTACATTGTTTCGCAAGATGGGCTTGTGGCGGCTTATCCTGTGTTGGAGGACGAGGGGAATGATATATTCAGCAGGCCAGAGCTGATGATGTTCATTTAGATTAAAGCTAAATATGGTGTTGGATATGCGTGTTCCTGTGTTTGCCATTGACAATGTAAGTTCATTGGCTCCTCTTTTTATTTTTTTAGGTATTCCTGTTTATGGATTAATCTGTCGCTAAGAATTTGATTATCCTTCTGTTTTTTTGCTTTGGTTGGTTTAAGATGTCTATGTCTGATACCCTTATTTTTAGTATCATATGGCTGATCTTTAATATATGAATGTGTTGCTTCATAACTGCAAATGATAAAATTTCCATAATTGTCGTGGTTTTGGATAATTAATGATGAAAACTTGTCCTGTTTTAGACCATAAATGAGTGATTGACTTGACACGTTTTTTCCAAAACAGAGTAGATGGCCCTGAGCTTACGTACAAATGACTTGGATACCTTTCCTCTATGGTAAGCTTCTCTGAATAACTTCTCCTTTCATAAATTTGCTCATGCGGGACTACATTACTTTTTTTAATAATAGGGGGTTTGTAAGGACTATTTTGCCATTCTTGTTGTGGGGTTTGAAATTGCTCTTTCCCTTCAGAAGAAACTTTATTTTAGACATTTTACTAGTGTTTCTTTTTCTTGATCTATTAGCGATGGTTCCTTTACCCTTATTTTCCTTGCTTCAATTGTTTCTGGTTGAAAAGATCCCACTGAACCCTGCTTCCCACAACAAAACCCCCAGCCCCACCCCTCAACCCCCTCCCCCCCCCACCAAAAAAAAAATAAAATAAACACACACACAAAAAAAAAAAAAAAAAAACTTGAGTTCCATTATTAACAATTACTTCTTTCTTTGTTTACTATAGAATTATGCAGCAATTCTTTCCTTTTTACCATAATTGTGTTTTCTAGTTCCAGTACTCCAGTTTTGATTACTTATGCTGAATATATCCTGTCAGGCATAACATTTTCATGGATGTCGTAACCCATTTTTAGTCTTTTGTGGGAATAGATGCACCACCCTACACCTTTAGATAGCAACAACTTCATGCCGCAATGTTTGATTTAAATATTAAAGAAGCATATTTCATTAAGTAAATCCTCCTCTGGCAGATATAGTCAATGGTCTGGGTTGGGTAATATAATGGGACCTGGACCCAACCTAAAAACTAGGTTTCAAACAACGCTAGGCCAACTTGAAGCGGCCTGCCTGGCACCCAGTGCCTAGACGGGCGCTTAGAACCTCGGGCGCCTTGTAGTTTTTTTTCACTTTGGGGGTTTTCATCAGTGTTTTAAAATGCGGGATGCGGCCCTGATGCGGTGGGGGGCCAATGCGGCTCGATGCGGCCCGGATGTGGGTGCATCGCGATGATGCGGTCAATAAATGTAAAAAAATTGTAAAAAAATAAGTTAATGCATAGAAAAAATATGAATGTGATATATGTGATAATAAGTATTTTAGTTTAATGATTAACTTCAAAACTATTCGCTATCGGAGATTCTGTATCCAGTTATCCACTATCCTCTGATAGAAACTAGAAACTTGAAACCAACTTCATAAAACATTCAACAATCAACACCATAAGCACAAATTTGCACCATAAGCACAACTATAATTAAGCACAACCATCAACAACCATAAGTAGAACCATAAGCACAAAATAATGATATTACAAAATACAAATCAAAAGTTAAGCTCAAGAAGAGTTAATAGTTAATAACTTAATGCAATCATCCATTTTGAGAGTCAATTTGAAATTTGAACTTCATTTTTTCAAATATCAATCAGACAAGTCATCTTGAGAGTCGTCATGCGCATCATCAATATCATCCTCGACGGCCTCCATGTATTCTTCTTCATCGGTCTCCTCTGAGTCAGCTTCCTCCTCGACCTCTGAAGCTAATGTGCGAGTGCCACTAGACCCAGCAACTCCTCTACTCCTTTGTGCTCTAGTGTTAGGTTGATCTTCTTCATTAGACTCTGTTGCTAGCTTGACATCAAGCCATGTAAGATCCTCACCCTCAAACACACGCTCTTGTCTTGGATCAATGGTCCACTTACTTATGGAATCACCATCAGCTTCATATAATTGAATAGGGTTGAGCTTCGTGCGATTTTCATACCTCTCCCTAAGCTGCTCGTTATACCGCACATAAACCAAATCTTTCAACTTTTTTTGCTCCAACCTATTTTTTTTTTTTGTATGAAGCTGTGGTAGAAATTTGAAATTAGATAAATTAGATTTTAGATTAGAAAATTGAAATTCAAGAAATAAGGATTAAAGAATAAGGAGTAAAGGACTTACATGCTCAAATGCACTCCAATTGCGCTCACAACTAGATGAGCTACATCTGAGATTCAACACTCGAATAGCGAGACGTTGTAGATTTGGTGTCTCGCTTCCATATAATGCCCACCATGCAGCTGTATAATATTTTATAATTTAAAATATAGTTAAAAATTAGAGGTATAGAATAAACAATGGAACTATACATAAAGTAAGAGACAAGTAACATTATTTTTGGGCTTTTGGCCTTTACCTGGATCTGTAGTGTCCCTATTTTAAGTGGCAATATCTCTCCCAAAGTTTCCCAAGGCTAACTTGAACTTAATCAATTCATGGCTCTGGATCTCATCCTGGATATCTTTGTCTAGCACCAACCTCTCCAGCACATCTAAGAACCCACCATTTATTACACGATCTGACTCAATGGATGGGTGCTTGTAGTGAAGAGATGGGTTTAGAAAATAACCGGCTGAATGGAGGTGCCTGTGAAGCTGCGTATCCCATCTTCTATCAATAATTTCAAGTATAGCCTTGCGCATATTTTTATCATCTTTTAAAACATCTTTTATTTCAGTTCTTGCCCTAGTTATTGCCTCATTATGTAGCCCATGGCAGGCTTCGCATCACCATCAACCAGTCGAAGCACTCTCACTAAAGGGTAAGCCACCTCCAATGCAAGAATTATTTGACTGCAAAAAGATGTATTCAGAATAATTTTTTCAGCCTTTCTCTCATCCTTATGCTTTGACCTTTTGCTTTGACTCCATTGCTCTGAAGCAAACATGGTCATCAAGGCACTTTTTTGCTTGGTGAGGCTTCGAAGAGTGAGAAATGACGTGGCAAATCTAGTGATACCCAGTCTCACTAATTCTCTCTTCTTTGTAAAAGACCTCATCATGCTTAAGACTATGGTGTGATTGTAAATAAATCCAACAACAAGCATAGCGCTATTGAAATCACTCCACTAAATAAAGATGTTGTACCCATTTCTTTAAGCATAAGATTAACACAGTGAGCTGCACAAGGAATCCAAAACATATGCTTCCTTTTCAAAGTCAAGAAATGCCCAGCTGCAACATAGTTGGCACCATTGTCAGTGATAATTTGTACCACATTTTGCTCCTCAACAAAATCGACAATCTCATCTATCAAGCCACATAAGTATGTACCATCATGTGACTTGTCTGATGCATCAATAGACTTAGCAAAAAAAGTACCTGTTGGGCAGTTAACCAAAAAATTAATGAATGCCCTTGATTTCCTATCAGACCAACCATCACACATGATAGTGGCCCCATATTTCTCCCACCCTTCTCTCTGAGAAATCAAAATTTTATTCACATCAAATACAACATCCTTCAACAAGGGCTCCATAACTATGTAGTGAAAGAGGAATAAGTCCTGGGCCATGTTGCCCAATTGCTTGGACCATACATGCAAAACTATCCAGAGTTATAGTATTAAAAGGAATGTTGGCCATGTAAATCCACTTTGCAATCCACTTACATATCTACTTCCTTTGTTCTTTCATATATTTATTTTCAATTGTAGTTTGTTTTGTTTTTTTCTTTCGTTCCTGAATCACAATTTCGGGGCTAGGGGTGAAAAAAGAATCCATTGGCCCCTTAGAGAGAGGTGTTCTTCTCTCAGCACTACCACCAATATTTATAACCCCTCTCTTGAGGTTGGAGTATGAGTACCCCTTTGCCTCATAGCAACTTCAGACATATCAACATCATCAAATAATTGCATAGCATCAAGTAATCTCCTTCTTTATATCATCTGTAGCTTGTGGGCATGCTCTTACATTCTCAAAAATTCTGGCTAAATGCTCTTTTTGTCAAAAAATACCACCGTATAAGTATTTCCACAGGGCAAGCATATCACACAATTTCTATCTTTCGGATTTTTTAGTTTAGCATATTTCCAAGCCGGATCCTTATTACTAGAAGATTGGGAAGAAGACATTGTCCCAAAAATAAGTATAACAATATTATTGTACAAGAAGGAATACAAAGTTACCGTCTCTGTGAAGTAGTGCTCGATTTCTTCACGGCCTCTGAAATCCCCAATTTCTTATCACAAATTCACTTTAACATCCCCAAATCAACAATCAAAGGCATCAAATGAACATCCAAGTATCAAACAACTGCCAAATCGAAGATTTGGATGAAAAAAAAAATTTTGCCAAATTTTTTTTTACCTTGATTTGATGCAAAGAGAGCCCCAAAAGTGACTGGAAATCTTCGTTTAGGGGGTATAATAACCCCCAAACAGTTTTCCTAAACTTTGGAAGTTCAAAAAGACCATTTTGCCCTTCCCCGAGGGGCAAAATCAATAATTTTTTCTATGGAAAACAGACGGGGCGCGATGCAGGCGATGCGACCATGATGCCGGATGCGGCCTGATGCGACGCTTATGCGGCCGCATCTGTCAAAAGCGCATATGCGTCAGTTTGCGATGCGGATGCGAGCGCATCCCGCATGATGCAGCCGCATTTTAAAACACTGGTTTTCATATATTGAGGGTTTTTTTGGTGACTTTGGGGGTTAAGAATAAATCCCATATCGTTTTTATACAATCTTGGGGTTAAAATGACCCCTTTGCCCTTTTGGTGATTTAAAAAAATGAAAAGGGCCTTACAGCCCTGGGCGCCTGCACAAGTAGATCCGCCTGGGTCGGATTTTTGGTCCAGGTCGCTTAGGCGCTAGGCGGACCGTTTTTTTAAACATTGCTGCTAAAAATCAAAATATCTATATTTATATATATTTCATAAATTGGGATCCGAAAATATAATGTTGGATCTGGACCGGGACCCGGACCTAAATGGTGTTCCGGTCCAAGATTTGGACCCGACCCAACCTGTCAGGTCCAATTGTTGGATCCATACTTGGACCCGGGTCGGGCCTACCCTTCGGGTCCCAAGTCGGGTCCGGGTTCATCGCCACCCCTATCAATGGGCTATCCACAATGCTAACTTCATCGAAACTCTTTAACCATGAGCATGACAGCCTTTTCTGGAAATAACCATCGATCTTGAAATCACCTTGTAGCCTCTGAGAACCATAATGGATTTTCCATGTGATAGATGTTAACACATGAGCGGACATAATTTACATTGCTCTTTCGAGGTTTTTTTTTTGTCAAACGAGTCTGTGCACTAGGATTATTGGTTTAGATGGATTTTCATAGTTGATGTGGATTTTCTTGCTTTCCTTAGAACTTTTGACTCAAACATTGAAGTTTGTGGGACTCATTCCTTCGTGTCTTCCATGTCGATCCTCAAAATCGGGCTGTTTTATTGATTACAAAGTTTATGTTCCCCCATTTCGAGTTCACGTTTTTCCCCCAATGTTTCTCTATTTACAAATTTTTTTGCAAGGTAAGAAATAAAAAATAGAAAGCAACTGAGCCAGAACCCAGTTTTGCTATTAACTGTTCCTGAGGCAGTTTGAATTCCAAACGGTCTTACATTTAAAAAGCTCTCTATATTGTGATTCTTAACGTACTATCATCATGTTGTCGTTGTTGCTGTTGTACCTGTCGAAAACAAAGCTCCTAATGTTGTTGTTCTGGTTGTTGCTACTATTACTGCCATGGCTTCGATTATTATAACTAGAAATTTTGTTTAGAATGGATGAGCATTAGATGGATTTCGTATTGGATTTCTTCTTCTTCCTGTGCTCAACTCTTTTAAATTTTTTGTTATTTGCATCCAGTTCTATGTTGATTTTGGATCTACCTCTTATTCCATTATTGATTTTGCATCATTGGCATATAAAGGAGACTGAAGCGAAGTGTAGAGAAATGGATGAGCATCAGATGGATTTCGTATTGGATTTCTTCTTCGTCTTCTTCTTCCTGTGCTCAACTCTTTTAAATTTTATTTTTTTGCATCCAGTTCTATGTTGATTTTGGATCTACCTCTCATTCAATTATTCATTTTGCATTATTGGCATGTACAGGAGACTGAAGAGAAGTGCAAAGAAATGGATGAGCATTAGATGGATTTCGTATTGGATTTCTTCTTCGCCTTCTTCTTCCTGTGCTCAACTCTTTTAAAAAAAATTATTTGCATCCAGTTAAATGTTGATTTTGGATCTAGCTCTTATTCCAGTATTCATTTTCCATCATTGTCATGTACAGGAGACTGAAGAGAACTGCAGAGGACTTTATGTACACTGGAAGTGTAAGAAAATTGGGTGCAGAAGACTCATGAGCTAAAGAAAAGTAGGTGGAAATTTAGTGCAGGAAGCCTCTTGGATTTCTATACTGTTGCTTCTTTCCAGGTTGTAAAGAGCTTCTTTGATGTTTCTTGTTCTCTTTTGTTTTTTTCCTAATGCGTATAGTCACCCTAAACCATCAGATCTCTTGTGTGTGTGTGAGAGAGAGAGAGAGAGAGAGAGAGAGAGAGCATACAAGTGGTTTGAACTAGAGAGAGAGAGCATATAGTTGCTTTAAACTAGAGGACAAGAGACCTGTAATTTGGGGTAGGTGAGATAGTACAAGAGAGCCTTATGATTTGTTTGATCTTCCATGTTTTATACTTTCATTTAAACAAGGATTACGTCCAAACCATGCAATGTATCTTTGCCGTTGTCTAGCTGTCTTTTGCTTCATGGATCTGAAAATTCAATCTTGAAACCCTAAAACTAACTATTTCATCACAATTTTTTTTTTTTATAATTTACATGGGTGTTCTAAAATACGTTAGATTTGTCATTTTTGGTGATTCAAATTACAGTAAGTTGGAAATAGATTTGTCTATTGAAGGCGTTTGGCGCTGAACTCTAGGAGTGGGCATGATAGGTTGGGTCCGGTTCTAACAGATCCGGATCAAGTCAAGTCTAGTTTTGGATCTCGGTTAACTGACCTTACCCCAGGTATGCGTGTGTGTGGGTGTGTGGATTTGGGTCTTGGGTCCGGTCCAAGTGCCGACTTTACAGGTCAGGTGGACCCATTTGCACCCGTATCCACCATCCGTTCTCAATTGAGTTGGAAATGATCTTCACAAGAAGGACATGGAAATAATTTATGTAACTTTTTTTTAAGCAATAAAAGTTCGTAACATTGTCAGAACAAAAAGAAATAGAGAGAGATGGAAATAATCTCCACCATCAGAAAGAGATGGTGGATCTTGTGAATGGGGGTAGAGTGCATCTTCCTTTTTCATATTTTTCAATTAAAAAAATATAAAATCTGGTAAATATTCCTAAATTAAAAATCTTGTAGCAAGGATAATCTTAAGGGTGGCAACGGGTCGGGTCATTATGGGGACCTGGACATGAAAAACGATTATGGGACCTTGTTCCAAAAAATTATAATGTGGGACACAGATTAGGACCTAGAGCCGAAAATTATCTATGTAATTAAATGTATTTTCATAAATTGGAAAATGTGGGACTATCGGGACCTGAACGGACTCAGATTCAGAATTGAATACTGTTCGGGTCCAACTTGGACCCGGATCCGACCCATCGAGTCTAATTTTTGGACCCATACCCTGAACTAGGTCAGGTCTACCCGTTACGTAAGGTCTCGGGTTGCTCAACCCAATCAAAACCATTTCTTGATGGGTTTTGAGGGGTTCTTCACTAGCTGATTTTATTTGAATTTGTCAATGGCACCAAAATTGGTGCGGGCTCTCATGCATCAAACGTCCATTTTAGGGATGGACGTCAGAAAGAGACCATACCTCTTAATCGAGGGTGAAAAGATATATTTAAAAAATATATAGTTTTAAGTTTTAATAAACAAAAATTCCATCTACATAATAACCACAATAGTTGAGATTAACCAATCTTAAAATTTTGGATAAAAAATTCATCCTTAAGATATACGTTTAAGGGGCCTACACATCTACATATGAGTCGCTTGACTCACCAAATACTTTAGGTTTGAGAAAATATCATGTAGACAGAATAGAAGATATCATATGTCCATGTGAGAGAGAATTTTAATGAAATTAAAATAATTTGAGGTATTTCTGTGCGCATGAGCAAAAGAATTACAAATACTTAATTTGTTGAATGGAAATCTTCATTTGGTAGGTTTAAGTGTAAATATTATGTGCCTTTTTTTATTTCTCTCTGAGATAGTTAAAAAATACATGGGAAAATTACCACTAAAATGCTTAAATGAACTAAAAAATAATCAAGATGGTCAATGAATTTAAATTTAGACTTGATTTAAGCAAGATGACCATGTATACTCCACAATTTTCAGGTTTAGGAACCCAAAACAATCATATCCAATAAAAAAAGTACCTTGGAGGTTCTTGAGCCTAAAAAACTGAGGCGTTCATTCTTCATTGGCTCAACGATATTCTAACTTTATTCAATTGACTTAAAATTCAAGTTCAAAAAGCCAAAGTATGAGGTCTTTTAAAAATTTATTGTAGACCCATCATCACCATCATCATGATCGAATTTTTTTTACAAACTATTTGAGGTCAGCTATACGAATTATGGTCCGCAGATTTCGAATTCAAGAATAGTTTTGGCAACGTTTTATGACGCTGCCTATCTAAGACAACCCACATCTAAAAAAGAAAAAAGAGGCATAGACTATAAAATTAATATACCAAATATCTTACCCATTCACGAATGGGTGTGGTTTGTATAGAGCCGAGGCTCTAAACAATCAAAATAAAGCGCACCTTCAAATAGCATCAAAAAATGTGGTTTTAATATTAGAAATCTTTGTGATAGCCTTATAATATATTTTCATATTTAATTATAAAATTTAAATCTTAAAAAATAGTGTAGATTGAGCAGATATATGAAAACTTGAAAATCATGAAAATTGACGGTCCAAAAATGTGTTACAAGATGCACTATTTTCAAAACTTGAAATCTATTTTTTCTCATTTCCATACATATTGATGTCGAGATGATCAATTTGAGGATATTTGAACATCAAAACAACCCCTTCTAATGAAATTTTTGACGTGGGCTCTGATTTGATTGTTTAGAGTTTAGGCTCTATAAAAACTTCAAAGAGTAGTTGAGGATACAATTTCAGATTAGTTTTTAGAATTTTTATTTTTTATTTTTTTAAGATCAAATCTTTGAGGTGATACCTCAAAGCACAAAACAAGTTAATTCAATTTTCCCTTCATCATTTCACTTGATATTTCCTCTTATTCTTTTTAAATTAGGACTCTAGGCTAAAAAAGAATGAAAATGTGAGTTTAAAAAACCTGTGCTAAATCCCCTGTACCAACAACCACCAAGGCGCCACCAACCAAGCCACTAGGGAAAATAACAAAAACTGTACCTAACATTTGAAAAAAACCGCGACCAACCACAGGAGTTTAATGAACAGATGAGAGAGAAAGTCTGCTCGCAAAGGAGATCCATTTTAGAGAGAATGTGTGAAAAGTGAAAACAATGCACAAACCTAGAGAGAGAAATTACCTTGTTGCACAAACCTAGAGAGAGAAATTACATTGTTGCACAAACCTAGAGAGAGAAATTACCTTGTTGCACAAACCTAGAGAGAGAAATTACATTGTTGCACAAACCTAGAGAGAGAAATTACATTGTCTTTCAAAGAAGATGTTTGCAATGAAAGGCACGCTAGGGAGGGTACATCTTAGAGAGAGAAATTAATTGTGACCTGTGAGAAAATATATCGGTATGCCCTATTTTCATTACCAGGGTATTAAAAACTTTGTAGCCGCATTAGTTTCTTAAAATATAGGGAAAATCACAAAAACCTCTTTTGACCTAGCTCTCTCTCTCTATGCAATCTACCCCCAATCGAGTTTTTTATCATAATTTTTACCCCCCAAAACAAACTTTACTAGTAAATATCTCTTTGTCAAAAAGTTATAGTTTTTAAGACTAAGATGCCCTCTCTCTCTTTTCTAAAACCGACTACTTAACTTTTCCCATAACACACAAAAAGACGGTTCGGTAGTATAAACAAGCCGTCTGGCAATATCCCAAAGTGGTCTGGCACTTCCAAATAATGGCCCAGCAATAGGCCCATATAGTAGTCAGGCATTGTCAAAGGGCAGTCCAACAATAGGTCCATGCGATCCAGCAACAGGCCCATGCGGTTCGACAATACAGCCAAAGTACGGTCCAGCAATATCCCCACTCGGTCCGGTACATGGTAGACTCGATTCGGCATTCTTTCTAGTCATTGAGCATCTTCTGGGGAAGTGACGTCATTGTGTACAGACAATGACACTTTTTTCAAAATACCAATGACTTTTTTATTTGGATACCAATGACTTTTTGATTTCGAGGGTATTTGCAAAAAATTGTTTTGGGGTAAAAGTTGTGTTAAAAAAATGGGTGCAGTTTGCATACGGATGCATCCGTAGTTGTAGAAGTAAGGTGCGCCTTCAAATTATATGATGATATATAATTTTGATGTAAAATGTCCTTAGTATTATCTCAAAATCTATTTTTATATGTAATTATAAATTTTAAATTTTAAAAATGGTTAAAATCAAGTAGATCTATAAACGTATGAAAATATTGAAAATGGACGGTGTAGATAATATTGTAAAATGTACTATTTCTGAGACTTAAAATTTTTTTATTTTTCATGGTCATACATCTCGATGTTGAGATGAACAAACAAAGGAGTTTTTAACATTAAAACTACATTTTCCGATGAATTTTTGAGGTGCATCCATAGCTCTACATTATAAGTTTGTAATCTAATATAAACTTTTTCCTAAAAAAATTAGTTGAGGACGTTGCCTAGAAAATCAAATGGGGTATTAACAATTTACCCTTTTTAACTGTTTTGTTTACCCTAATTACTAAAAAGACAACATCTATCTGCTACTAAATCTCTCTATGTACAAGTTATTATCTCCCACTCCATCAAATACGTTGTATGGAGAAGTTTAGTAGGCCAATAAAGGCATCTTTTAGTCTTTATTTAGGGCAGAAAGGGAGTAGTGAAAAGGGATAAATTGGATAAGGGGTTGGAAGATATATTTTTCAAAAAAACAAGCCATCATAAGGTTTGTAAAACCTTAGGTCTATTGGGAAATAATAAAAAAAAAAAATTATAAGTAACATTTTCTTATTAATTTTCAATAAAGATCTTAAAGAGAAATGGTCAACTATTGTGAGTAGGTGATGTGCATTGCCTCGGACAACCTAGGCCTGAACCACTAAGTTTGGCCAGATGGTTCGTATGGGACAGCTTGGACCTGAGCCACTAAGTTTGGCCCAATGCGGGTTTGGACCTAAGGTCTAGGCTTAATGTCCGATATTGACAGTGTCTTGGCCAAAGGGGGCACGACAGGGCTTGCCATCCCCTTGGCCTTGCTATTTGTTGTTGTTGTTTTTTTCTTATAAAAAATTTAGAAATAAAAAGGAATTAATATCGACCTGCCTAGGGTTGACCCTATTAACAAGCCTAGGTCACCTAGCCCAACAGTGGAGTTGGGTCTCAGCCAATGAACCTTTGGTACAAGTGCTGGCTCTGGCCAATACGGGCACGACCCATTGCCAGTCCTATCTTATAGTCACACCCAATGATTTGCATACATGTAGGAAAACATCCGAATCAAGAACGAAACCGATGGTTCCGCATAGTAAAATGATGATTCTCCTTATTTTTTTGGATAATTCAGAAGGAAAAAAGGGCCCTACCCATTTTTTCAATAGATTGAGGAGGTACATTTTGAAGATGTTAATTGGGGGTGTCAGTGATAGAAATGGATACCACGATATGCTAACTGGATATGGGGATGCTACCACCACGATCCCCGCCCCTCAGCCCCTTTCCTAGCAAAATGACGATTCTCTACATTAAAACTGCAATCTTGACCGCTGGCCCCTCAGCCCCTTTCCTAGTAAAATGATGATTCGCTACATTAAAACTGCGATCTAGACCGCTGAGTCACTAATCCATACCGACGTTTTTGCCGATTTACTTCTTTTTTTTTTTTAAGTGATTTATTTATTTATTTATTTTTGACCATATCATTTTTTTTGATATAGTAAAACAATGATCCATACCGTTGATTCACCATTTATTTATTTATTTATTTATTTTTGACCATATCATTTTTTTTGACATAGTAAAACAATGATCCATACCGTTGATTCACCGATATAGACTGATTTGAGTAAGGGGGATGATTGAGTCAAATATTGGATGAGTAAGGCAATAATATTAGGCATTTTCTCTCTCATCCAAATCTACTCCGTTATTCTCTCTCCAGGTTGGTGGACTCCCCATCAAACTCTTGTTGAACCATCAGCAAATTCCTCAAGAGCCACGTCCTTTCTCTCTCTCTTCTCCCTTCAGTGCCCCTCATCAAATTCCAAAGGAGAGAGAGAGAGAAGAAACTAGAGAGAGAAAGAAGAGCATAGATGATTCAAACCCAAAATAGCATAAAAATGATGAAATTCAGGTAAAAGGAACTCTGTATTTCCAATTCTCTAGTTGGGTTCTTTGTTCAAGCTCCATTAATGGCCACCACTCCGCTCAAAGCTGCACATGAGCCTTCGTTCTCTCTCCTCTCTTCTAGTTTTTCGTCTTCTCCTTCTCTCTCTACATTAATTCGGATCAAAACTCGAAACACCCAAAAAGGATTTGGGGTCAAATTGGGTTTTGGAATCGGGTGTTTGAAGGCAGGGTCTGAGGATTTTGGAAGGTTTGGAGAGAGAAAGGAGGGTATTTCATGGAAGAGTGAGAAGGGTAGAGAGAGAAACAATGGGAGGGCCAATGCACAGAAGATCGAGACGGGGTTTTTCAGAGAGCCTGTGTCTGAGAGGATCAAAGTGGTGGCGTTAATGGCCTGTGTGATGTGCCTCTGCAACGCGAACAGGGTTGTCATGTCTGTCGCCATTGTTCCTCTTGCTTCTCGCTATGGTTGGGATAGCACTTTCTTGGGGATCGTCCAGGTTCTCTCTCTCTCTTACACACACACAAATTTGCAGGTCCATCATCGATGAATATCTCTCCCCCTGCGTCCAAGTTCGATTAATCTCTCTCTCTCTCTCTCTCTGATAAGTTTGCATGGCCCATGATCGATGAATCTCTCTCGCTCTGAATCTTTTTCTCTCTAAATCTCTCTTTCTCTCTGTCTGGCGTTTGCATGGTCATTCTTTTTGTTTCCCATCAATGTTCTCTGTCACAGAGACATCTGCATAATCCATTCTCTCTTTTCTTAATTCCTAAAAGCCAATGTTTTCACACCCGGTCACCGATTCTCTCTTTTTTTCCGCTTGAAGTAATTTGTTCCCTGCTCCACATTTCGACTTACACATTAGCTTCTCTCTCTTAAATTGACCACTTTTTTTTACAATGGCACTCCCCCTCTCTCTCTCTCTCTCTATTTGAGCATTCTTTATTATTTTTAGAAAGTGTTTTTTTTTACAATGAATGCTTATTTTTACTATTTTTCATCTTTTTTGAAATTTTTTGAAAATAGCCCTAGGCACAAATCGAGTTTTCGTATTCTTTTATATTTTTTTTATATTTTTAAAAAAATAAAAAATATGATTTTTTTCAACTTCATTTGGATGCGTTTTGTTTAATGAGATTTTAAATATAATTTTTATTTTCTTTTAGATTTGTTTGTATTTTTTACTTTTAACACGGTTTACTACTTTTCCACTTCATTTTCATGTGCTTTGTTTTATCAAAGTTTTAAATATAGTTTTCATATATTTTTAGATTTTTTAGATTTTTTTAATATTTTAATATTTTATAGACCGGCGTGGGCCTACCCTATTACTCGAACCCGACCTTTGGTCTGTTCAATTTTTAACTTCATGATGACCTTTTTTAAGGGCAGGATTTTTGATCAAGAACAAGATTCATGTAGCCCACTCCAAATGATTGAAAGAACAAGACACTTGTGACGATGATCCTTTCAAATTTAGGTCAAATTTAATTCTAGAAAGCAGTTTTGGGCCTGGAATAGAAAATTCGTCTATGTTGCTCATTTAGCCAGCATTCATTTTATAGCGGTAGTTAGGTTGTGGTTGTCAATTGATGATTCCCCTATTGTATTTTAAAGATCATATCTCGTGCGGGAGCATGAAATATCTTTTTTCACAATCCTAACTAGGAGTTACAAGAAAAATTCAAAAAAAATCGTATCTTGGATAGTCCGACGATCCAAAATTTTGGAGATATAACCTCGAACAATTTAAAAAATAATAGGAATTCTACACAAAGAGAAAAAGAAAGTTTTGATAAAGTTTTATGTTGGCCTCCTATAGGAGTTCTACATGAAAAGATGGGTTAAGAGAAAGCTTAAGATCTTCACCCTTCTTAATAAGAGTTATGTATGTTCATCTTAAAAAATATCATTTTAAGATTGAATAAATTCATCCAATTTTTTACTTTTAGATCCTCCCGACCCAATTATCTTCTTCATGTGCTGTCTAATGATTCTAAAATGAATCTAGAAATTTTAGATGGAGAAAATAATATTACGTGGAGTTTTTTCACCTAAGGGAGCAAATGTACAATGTACTCTTACGGGAACATTATATATTGCTCTATTTTAATGATTTCCTTTTAAAAAAAGCAGTTTCATGACTCTATGCTGTGATTTTTCATTATTTTATATTTCTGAATTTCTGATTAATAAATATGAGCATCTTGTCTTGTATCTACTTCGAACACTCAATTTTTTTTTTATTATTGTCTTCTTTGACATTGTGAAAATGTCACCTCTTCATTTGGTTTATTATATTGCCAAATCCCAGTCTTAAGATGCTTTTTACCTTGTAAAGTATTTTGTTGAGCTAAATAAAAATGAGCACTTTTTTTCTGTATCCTTATCGGCTGAGGCGGAAGTCATGATCTTTATATCTATTTTGTTTATCAACATCCACATCGGATAGATTACGAAAATGGTGAAGGGTTTGGTTTAGTCAAATTTTGTTTAACGGGTGGTCGAGCTAGTTAGCCTAGATATTTTTTTAAAAAATGGATATAATAACTGTGTAAAACTAAAAAAAGAAAGAAAAAAATTATTCATTTTTATTTAGCTGATCAGACATTGATTTTGACCCAACCCATTTTTTGCAAGGGTCGGTCCAATTAAACGCACCAGCCGGTCCAGTCTGGTTGGTAACTATGCATTTTACTATTTGTATTGTTATGCATGCGGTACTCGGACCTTGCCGGTTCCAAAATCCCTTACCTTGGTCTGGCCCAGGGTGAGACCCGAAGGACCCGAGTCGGTTATATCATATTATGATAATGATTATATCAACATACTGTAATTTATAATATTATAGTATATAATATTTTATATTATATATTTAGGTTCAATCAAGTCAAGTCGATTTAGGCCTAGATCTAACCCGACCCAAGGTCAGGTCCTTATTTGTGGACCAGAAAAAACTGAAACTCCATATATTTTAGGTTTTCTCTAAAGAGAAAGGCTGATAAACCCCATGGTCCTTAAGAGGCTATCACCATCCATTCAAATGTAGGAAGGTATCTCATGAGAGAGGGAGCCTCCAAAGCAAGACTTGTTAGTTTTCAGTTCCACTTCTTCATCATTACTGTTGATCACTTTATAATAGACTTTGATGGCCCTAAGGTTTACTATTTCTGCATACTGTTTAGGATTATGATATACATTCCCTTAAATACCCATTTAATTGGTTTCCAAATTTTCTATCAAAAAAATAATAAATGAGATAACTAATTAAAATCCAGTGCAAGATCACAATCAATTTATTATTTAACCCACATATGACAATGAAAGGTGTGGTTTGTATCAAGCTGCAAGCTTAAACCATCAAATTAAGGCGCACTTCCAAATTTTATCATAAGATGTAATTTTGGTGTCATAAATTTTTTGGATGGCATGAAAATTCATTTTCGTCTCTAATTGTAAAATTTCAAACTTTAAAAATTCAAATAATGTGTTGCAAGATGCATTATCTTGAGACTCAAAATCTTTGTTTTTTTGTTTGTTTTTTTTTTTTTTTTTTCGTATTCATACATCTCTATGTTGAGAAGGTCAATTAAAGGGTTTTTTTTTAAAAAAATAGCTTTTCCTGATAGATTTTTGAGATGCAACCTTAATTCTATATTTTAAAGTTGCAAACTTTATATTAACTTTTTCCCACAATGAAATGGGGACGAAACTTTGCAAGTGCAACAGTTCCAATGGTACCTAACCTAGTATTAGAAAATGTCACTTTCTTCCCCTTTTCTTTTTGCAATTTCCACATTTTCTTTATCCCGTTCAGCTAAAACATGGGTCCAAATAGCAATTGCATCATGGAGTTGGTTTCATGTCATTGTTGTTGTTGTTTTTCTGAGATTCGTTTTGCTTCAGCCTCTTTGGCCTAAGTATTTGGTTTTACATCTAAACCAAAGCGGATGAACCATTCCCCGAGATATATCAATGTATCAAAATTAATACTTCAAAGGTCTCTGATATATTTAAAAATTTATATGATATTAAATTTTTTGTAAAAGTGCCTATGTGATGTTTTGAATTTAGGAAAGGGTGCGGTTTGTATGGAGTCTAGACTCTAAATAATCAAATTAGAGCATACTTTCAATTAGTGTTAAGAAATGTGATTTCAATATTGAAAATCTTTGTGATAGCCTTAAAATATATTTTTATAATTATTTATACATTTTAAAGCTTAAAAAATAGTGTAGATCGACATATCTATGAAAACTTGAAAATATTGAAAATTGATGGTCTAAAAATGCGTTACAAAATATACTATTTCCAAAACTTGCAATCTATTTTTTTTTTTTCTCATGTCCATGCATCTTGATGTCAAGATAATCAATTTGAAGATATTTGGTCATCAAAACAACCTCTTCTATTGAAATTTTTGAGGTAGGTTGAAATTTGATTGTTTAACTCTTCGACTCTATATAAACTTTTTCTTTTAGGAAATGTACCTTATATATTAATATATTTTAAGAGGAAAATATATAATGAGATTATTTGCCTTTGATACAAGGTGTTCACAATTAATCTTGACCATCAGATGTGAAATTGAGTGGCTGCATTTATTTTATTGACCAAACTCAAAGTGCAAAAGAAATTTTCTCGAATTTGAATGTACAAGAGTACATTTTTTTTTGTATAAGGTGGTCATAATTAATATCGACCGTTGGATGTGAAATTGGGTTGCAGCATTTATTCTATTGACCAAGCTCAAAGTTCAAAAAAAAATTTTCTTGAACTTTGTGACATACCTAAGCTATCAAATTTTACATCCGATGTTTATAAATAATTGTGACCTCTTTGTACAATAGTTAAATAGTCTCATTCTATACGATCCCTTTTTTTAATGGGTGTGGTTTGTATAGAGCTTAGGCTCTGAACAATCAAATTAGAGCCTACCTTCAAATAATTTGGAGAAATGTGGTTTCAATATTGGAAATCTATGTGATAGTCTTAAAATGCATTTTCATATTTATTTATAAAGTTTAAAGTTTCAAAAATAGTGTAGATTGACAGATCTATGAGAACTTGAAAATCTTGAAAATTGACGGTCCACAAATGTGTTACAAAATACACTATTTTCAAAACTTGAAATCCATTTTTCTCGTGTCCATACATCTTGATATCAAGATGATCAATTTGAAGATATTGGGGCATCAAAACAACCTATTCTACTGAAAATTTTGAGGTAGGCTCTTATTTGATCGTTTAGAGCCTCGGCTCTATTTAAAATTTTTCCTTTTTTAGTACGTGTTAAATTGGTGTGGATTGATTTTTTGCAGTCTTCATTTCTGTGGGGATACCTTGTTTCATCAGTTGCCGGAGGGCTAATGGCCGATAAATACGGCGGCAAGAGGGTGATGGCGTGGGGCGTGGCCGTATGGTCCCTGACTACGTTCCTGACCCCATGGGCCGCAGACCACTCAACCATCATGCTCCTCATTGTCAGGACCATCTTTGGACTTGCAGAAGGTGTTGCCTTACCTTGCATGAACACCCTCCTATCTAGGTGAGCTACTATTAAAATTTTAATATGTCTTGAATTTTCATAAAATTTTAAAAATGTTTAATTATAAATACACGAATAGGAAATTTCTAAGGAAAACATTTGTATAAATGTGAGGCTCTAAACAAACAAATCAAGGCGCACCTAAAAAATTCCCTAGAAGAGGTTGTTTCGATGCTGAAAAACCATCAATTCAATTATCTCAATGTCAAGATGTATGAACATGTGAAAAAGTTGACTTCGAGTATTGGAAACCATTCATCTTATGATGTATTATCTACACCGTTAATTATAAACGTTTCCAATTGTTCATAGATCTGCTCGATCTATACTATTTTTTAATCTTTAAATTTATAATTTTAGATGAAAACAAATTGTCAAACCATCATCAAGATTGTCTATAATAAAACAACATATTTCGATATTATTTGAAGGTCTTCATTACTTTGATTGTTTAGTGCCTCGGCCTTGTACAAACCACACCCGTATAATGTTTTCTTTGGATGGAAGGAATTTTTAAGGCCACGAGAAATTCATTTCTTAAAAGATTAAAACATTTGTTTGGGGTGGAAGAAATTTTTGTTATAACGTTGGTTTTCAATGTCTCAACATTTGGGAGGAACAAGAAACTCACACTTGATCAAAGGGGAGTGTGTACTATGAGACCATTTATTTATTTTTATAAGGAGATCACAATTGACACTAACCATTAAATGTCAAATTGGATGACGTAGAGTGTGTCATAAAGTTCAAATTTTTTTTTTTGAACTTGGAGTCTAATCAATAATACACTCACAACCATCTAATTTGAAATCTGATGGACAAAAGTGATAATGATATCTTTGTATTAAAAGTAAATGGTCTCTTTATATACTTTCTCTAATCAAAGTATAAGTAATGTTGTTGTTCACCATTTGTATGAGCTCATGGAACAAACAAACCCTTTTAGTTTCAAACTAAATATTATATGCCAGTGTCATTGAGGTAAAATTCTATCTAGGAGTACTTTTAGGACCTAAAATTTCGGGATATAACCTCATCAACCAACTAACCACTCTTTAAAAGAAAACAACATACCCAATATATATTGGGTGTGGTTTGCATGAGGTTACAATTTTAAAAAATCAAATTAAGGTGCATCTCCAAACTTTGTCATGAGATGCAATTCTGATGTCAATTTTTTTTTAAGATGGTGCAAGAATCTATTTTTATCTCTAATTACAAAATTTTAAACTCTAAAAATGGTTCAAATAATGCAGATCTATAAGAACATTAAAATATTGAAAATGGATGGTCCATATAATGTGTTGCAAGGTGTACTACTTTTCAAACTTGAAATCTAGTTTTTTGGCCATATCTATACATCTCAATGTCAAGATGATTAATTAGATATTTTTTCAACATCAGAACAACTTTTTTCAAAGGATTTTAGAAGTGCACCTTAATAATACATGTTAAGGTGTCAACCTTATATAAACTTTTTCCTTATAGATTTGCCTAAACAAAATTCCTAAGATTGAAAAAGACCATCCAATTTTTGCACGGTCAATTCTACGTATACAAGATCTCAAAATCCAATTTTCTTTCATTTTTAAACGAAATACTCATTTAGTGATTTAAAAGAAAATATCAAAATTTCATATAAAAAAGTCCGCCTTAATAGCTCTATTGCCGAAGGGAGTAAGTGTATAGTATACTCTTGTAGGAGTAGTATACAACGTATATTATCATCATCATAGCCTTTTCTCAATTAATTGGGGTCGTCTGAGTAGTACGCTACACACACTTCTCCTAATTCCTTACTTCAATGAAATAGATGGTTTCCGAGCAACGAGCGAGCTAGTGCAGTGGGATTATCGATGGCTGGATTTCATACAGGAAATGTGATTAGCCTGCTACTGACTCCTGTTATCATGTCAAAGGTTGGAATTTCTGGCCCTTTTGCACTGTTTGGGATCCTTGGTTTTGCATGGCTCTCAGTTTGGATTTTTAGAGTCACCAATGATCCTTCTGATAATCAACTGATTACCCAAAGAGAGCTCATGTTAATCCAAGCTGGAAAGCCGAAGATCTCGAAGACCGACGGCCGTGATTGTTTGTCCATACGAAGATTGTTCTCGAAGCTTCCAACATGGGCCATCATCTTTGCTAATGTAACAAATAACTGGGTATGCATTTGAATTCCAAATCTTAAAATAGGAGAACTAGAAAAACAAGAGGTTTAGTAAAATCATTCAAAAAATTCTAGGTGTCATATTTGATATAAAAGAGTAAAAAGGTTCAAAAACTCTAGGTATTATTTCTTAGAATAGGTATCAATATTGATGCCAACCCCAAATAAATGGGATAAGGTTTAGATGATGGCGATGATGTATCAATACTGATAACCTTCAAGTTAGGTGTTTACTATAATAATAAAAATATTTTAATACTTACTAAAGACTAAAATTAAATATGTTGAAAAATAGGAGAACTAGAAAAGTTTTTCTCATATTCTTCTTTCTTGCTTTTAGAGATCTGAAATTAGTTATGTTTGTTGCAGGGATACTTTATTCTTCTTTCATGGATGCCAATATACTTCAAGACAGTAAGTATAAATATTTTTTTTAAGGAGACTCTAGTGAAAATATTTTTTTTTAATTGTTAAAAACTGTGTTCATTACTAATCAAGATTAATTTACGAGTATTTAGGGGTGAGAATTTTTTGGATCCATCCATATCCGGATTTGGATCTAAAAAGTATACATAAGATCTATATTTGAATCTGGATCCAATCGGATCCAAAATGTTGGGATCCGGATCTAGGTAAAAAATTGTACATGGAATGCAGATCTAATATGGATTTGAAAAGATCTGGATTAGGTATTCTAAAAGTTTAAAAATTTATATATTATAAATATATTATATCAATTAATAAATAAATAACTATACATATATATAATAATATATACTATTTTAAAAGTCTGTCGGATCCAGATAGGATCTACTTGTACTTGGATCTGACCTGCATTACTATTCGGATCCGGATCCAAATTTCTATCCAAGTCTTAGATTCATATCCACATCCGAAATTCAGGTTTCGGACCAAACCAGGTCAATTCTCAGCCCAGAGAGAGAGAGACTCATTGCCTTAATTTGATAAATTTTCTTTAATAATAGGTTTTTGGAGTAAACTTGAAACAAGCTGCATGGTTTAGTGCCATCCCATGGAGCATGATGGCCATATCAGGGTACATTGCTGGATCAATCTCTGATTTCTTGATAGAATTTGGCTACTCAGTCACCCTCGTTCGAAAGATAATGCAAGTAAGTTCCTTAGCTTCCATGTTGTTGTACAATATATTATATTTGAGCTTTAATGATTTCATTTGGTCAAATTTCAGATCATTTTGATTTGTAGAAAAAAAAAGAAAAAATGAAACACTATCGGACAATCGTGACCGTACGATAAACTTTTGACGGTGATGAGGGTAGGCGAAATCACTGTTCCTTTTCACCTATAGGCGTTGGGAAGACTTTTCTTATATATATATATAAGGAAAATCATTTGATAGGGTTACCGCCCTATCGAAATAAGTAACGCCCCTGAAAAACGTTTACATCGATCATCTCGATTTGAACATTATGGTTGCAAAAAAATTAGGATTTCAAAGTCTAAAAACTGTGTATATTTTAATAAGTTATCTAGACCATTCATTTTTTTTAGTTTTAAATTTATTTTTCGATGCTAGAAATTGATTTTAAACCCATAATGGATATTTCCATTGCCGAAAGTACTTTCCAGATGAGGATTTGAAGTGAGGCTTTATTTGGTTTTCATAAAGCCTAGGTGCTATAGAAACGTCATCCTATATACAATGTGAACTTGAAAGTATCCAAAGATCGAAAAAAGGCTATCGAATTGGATAGTTAAATCTAATTGTTTAGAAAATAAAAATTCAATTTTTTTTTTTTAATGTGAAAATACTCATCTGGTGATTCTAAAGTGAGTACTAAAATTTCAGATAAAATAACCCAAACGGCACGTTACCCAAGGAAATAAATATATAGTATACTCTTGGAGTATGCTATACACTTTCAAGAGAAAAAAATCACAACTAACATAAACTTGTGTGCATGATATACAGTCAACTGGATTCATTGGTCCTGGGATTTCATTGCTTTGCTTGAACTTTGCCCAAACACCACATGTAGCTGCAATATGGTTGACCATGGCCCTCAGCCTAAGTTCTTTTAGCCAAGCTGGTTTTCTTCTCAACATGCAGGTATGGTTTTCCACCCTTTCTTTTACTAAGTACTCCAGAATATTCTTAGAGACTGGTTACAAGATAATTTGTTTAGAGAACTAACAAAGTTTCCTTTTTCTTGCTAGAGTTGATTTGGATTTTCCATATTAATGTAAGCATTCTTTTATTAGTATGCCATAGTAATCTGTTTTTTTTATATGTTTTTATTGCTTTTGCTCCCAGGACATAGCACCTCTGCATTCAGGATTTCTCCATGGTAATGCCACTTCCAACATCTTTTGTTATTGAGATCTTAGCAAGTCAGACAATAACAATATATTGGCAAATTAATATGACAGCAATAAATCGGTTTTTCCCAAAAAATCACAGGACCAAAATTAGATAAATTAAAGAGTTATGAATATTTTAGATTTGGCTCAAAATAACAGAGTGAAAAGACTGATATATAACTTGGAATTGTTAGAGGTAATAAGTGATTTTTTTTTATCTAAACTTTAATTAGATACGATAACGCTTACTTTACTATAGCGATAAAAAAAGCATAAGATGATTTTATTTGGAGCGTACAATGAAATAACAACAACATACTAAAAAGAATAAATGCATTAACAAATAACAAGCACTGTGAATCAAGATGTAGAATTAAAATTAAAAAAAAACAATAATAATAATAATTCCTTAGCATAGGATTGCAGTTAACAAAAACACAAAAACTTTAAAATGTAAAATAATTGTTGTGTTGTTATATTGTACACATCATTGAAATAACAAAAGTTTCTAAAATGTGAAATTGATCAATCTTCTTCTGTAGTAAAAAGGAAAGCAACAAAATGTTTACTTGTACTAAACTGTATGCGAAAGCAAAAATTAGTTTTTTCGACCTCACCTTGAATTCCCAGCTGAATCTCTCTTATTCTTTACTCTTCATTTATAGAAAAAAAAAACGAAAAGACTTTTCATTAGGGTAAATCTTCTATAAATTTTTTTTAGGAGACTATTTTTTCTAGTAATGAGAAGGGTGAGTTTTAAATGACTATAGGTTTACATTAGGGGTTAGCATTGAGCTCATACCTCTTTGTCTTAGTTATGGATAACTTAATTAGCAATCTACAACATGACCTACCATGGTGTATATTATTCACGGATGGCATAACTTTAATCAATGAGACTTAAAATGGCATCAACACAAAGTTCGAACTTTGGAGGGATGCTCTAGAAATTCTAAAATTAGCCGGACTAAGACAAAGTATATAAACTGTAAATTTAGAAATAATATAAGTAGCGATGAGGAAGTAGTTACCGAAGGCCAAGAAATACCGAACAAAGTGCACTTTCAATATCGTGGGTTAATAATCTCAAAAAATGAAGATATTGTGGAAGATGTCAAATATAGAATTAAAGTTGGGTGGGAGAAGTGGAGATGTGAAGTTAGAATTGTATGTGCTCGCCACATGCAAAAGAAGTTGAAAGGCAAGTTCTATAGGAGGACAGCTGTGAGACCAACTTTGCTTTATTAGAAAAAATATTAGGCGGTAAAAAAACAACATACCTATAGAATGAGTGTAGCTGTGATGAAGACATAGAGATAAATGAGTGACATGACAAAGAAGGGACAAAATTCGAAATGAATACATTAGGGAGAATTTAGGTGTGGCACCAGTATAAGATAAGATAAGAGAATATACTTGGGTAGGCGGGCTATATGCAACGTATACCCAGTACAACACTTGGTAAGAGGTGCAAGTTAGTTCAAGTGGATGGCTCAAAAAGGAAAAGGGGTAAAATAATATGATTGGAAGTAGTGAGAAAATATATGGGGACTTATGACCTCGTTAAGGTTAAGGCCCTTATAGAGCAGAATGACAAACTAGGATACGTGTAGCCATCCCAATTAGTTGAAAAAAAGCTTTGATGATGATAATGATAAATTTTTCTTGGAGGATATTGTTATTGTCATTTTCTTATACAACTTTGTAAGAGAATAGGGCCCAGTTTCTATACGGCCACGTCTGCATATGTAGAAATGTGGGCCTATTAATAAATCTATTTTTGAGATAGATTTTTTTACTTAACTTTTAAGAACATGTGATATCTAACATGAAGATCATAAATATGAAAAAACAAATAATTTTAAAAACTAGAAATAAAAATTCTAGTAAAAAAACATTTGGACCAGTGTTTTAAAAAATGGTGAGTCGAACCGGACTCGCCCGGTTCGACTCGGAAACACGCGTGCTCGTGCCGGTTCCAAACAAAAACCGAGAACTGCCCGGTTCTAGAGTGGAACCGCCGGTTCCCATCAAATTCTATCCAGTTCAACCCGATTCACACACGTAAATGCATGACACGCACGTGCGAACGTGCCCCACGTATACTCACATATGCACACATGTGTCCAAGCACACGTGCTAGCGTGCCCCACGCACCCACACGTGCACACGTGTATCCAAGCGCACGTGCGACCGTGCCCCATGCACCCACACGTGCACATGCACGCGTGCACACGTGTGTCCAAGAGCACGTGTGAGCGTGCCCCATACACACTCACACGTGCACACGTGCACATGTGTGAGGTTGCCCTAATATTTTTACACGCATTTTATTGTTCATATTGCATAGGTATTTATATACCAAAGTTGAATACCCATCTTTCGATGTTGGATAATTCCCAAACATCATTAAATGAAAATAAAATGTAAATATAGTCTATTAATCAGCAATTTATAATCATATGTAGTTAGATAGCTTGATGGTTATGACTTTGATTTTTTTACTTGAGGTCCTAAGGTCGAATCCCCCTTTGATTTTTTTACTTGAGGTCCCAATGTCGAATCCCCTTGGGCACCCCCTTGGGCATGTCTTGCATTTGAATCCCCTTGGGCATGTGTTGCATTTTTGTTGTGTATATAGTACTTGGTATAAATATTTTTGTTGTTTTCGAATCCCTTTGGGCATGTGTTGCATTTTTGTTGTATATATAGTGGTTGGCATAAATATAAATATTTTTGTTGTGTATATAGTGGTTGGTATAAATATAAATATTTTTGTAAATAATATAAAAGACATAAAAAAATGAAAAATAAAAAAATTAATTTTTTATATAACAGTTAATTTTTGTTGTATATAATGGTATAATTATTTTTGTAAATAATATGAAAGGCATAAAAAAAATAAAAATAAAAATTTTATTCTATTTGAAATCTCCATCTTTCTACTAACAATCTCTTTTACTAAATTTATTATAGAAACCTAAAAAAATAAATTTTTAAAAAATTGAAGTGTTATTTCCAAAATTTATACGCATTTTATTAATTTTTACATTAATAACCAAATCTTTTATTTTATTTATGAATTTTTACATTTTAAATCATGTAATATACTGTTTTTCTTACAGTTGTCAATAATACATTTTAAATTAGATAATATTATAAAATATTTTTAATTTATTATTATTTGTCTAATAAAATAATTATAAAATATAAACTAATAATTATAATTTAGTATATAATATTATAATTAGTGAGGTATTAATAATTTTAGATTATAGTTAGTTAGGCTGTAATAGTTTGGGTTTTTTTAGCGGGTTAGGGTTTTTTGCCAAAACGAGATTTTAATGGCCATTCTTTCATTGATTAGTCTACTCTTTATAATAGTCCATATATAATTATATTTTTTATCCATGATAATTCTATGATTTTTCTTTTATGTGATGCAAATTTAATAGTTAAAATAAGTTTATATAGGGAAAAAACATCGCAATATTCACAAATTGATAAAAAAATGAAAGTTAATAATGTAGTACCCTCATTTTTTATTGGATTCCTAAAAAAAATATTTATAATGAATTTTAATAATTTTTTCGGATTTTTTTGAAGCTTTAATTCAACCGATTCAACCGATTCCCGATCCGAATCACCGATTCGCCGATCCAGATCAGTTTTTGAGGTGCCCAATCAGGATCACCGATCCGCTTTTTAAACCATTGATTTGGACTGTTAGTTTCCATTGTTTTTAGATGGAACACCTACTTGCATCCATCTTTAAGATCGATGCTTTATACTTTTTGGATCGTATATGTAGTCATGCTTTAAACATTATAAGATATTTTATTTGTATTGGTTTTTTTTTTAAAAAAAAGAACCTTGATTTTTTTGAAGATCTTTTGAAAAGCTCAGTGTTCTTAACGGATGTCAAAAAAAATTTCTTTTTTTAAAAATTTTGTTTTAGTCAGAGACTTGCTGACTATGATTGAGATATCCACAAATTGCTTCTTAATAATGACCATTATACCTTTTATAGTTAAACCCCAAAAACTCCTTCTACTGCTGAAGCCATCACTAATTATGCATAGCATAGAAAAAAATTAGTGATAAATAATAAAGGGAAAGTATTCAATGAAACCATCACTTTCTATACGAGTAGGTCCAAATACCCCAAGCCATTAGATGTGAAATCCTGCGGCTTCCATTTTGTACCAAACCTTGAATAAGTGGTTGAGTGGTTATCTATATTCCTATTTGGTGCATGGTACCAGACCTTGAACATGTGTATTTTGGGTAATCTTTAAGACAATAGCTGTGGAGAAATTTGTGCAAAATGTATTATTTAAGAAACAACTATGTTGAGAAATTTATTATTTGACCACCTCATTTATTTTTTGAGATGATTTAAAATAATATTATATAAAAAGAAAGAGAAAAAAAAAAGAAAAAGAAAAAAGGGATGACATAGAATTGACAAAGTAATTTGCACATTAATTCAAAATTTCAATTGACACATTTGTTTTGGAACTTAACAAATAAATATTTGTTATTATTAGGGATAGCAAATTCAGTTGGTACATTTGCAGCTATTATTAGTACAATTGGGACTGGATACTTTGTACAATGGCTGGGATCATTTCAAGCTTTCCTCACAATCACAGCAGTTCTCTACTTCATCACTACCATTTTTTGGAATCTCTATGCCACAGGGGAACAAGTATTTTAGTGTCTTTAAGATGACTATGATAGAGCCTAAAATGTGTGCACATGAGATGGTAAAGTTAATTCTTTTCATTATTTGGAAATCCTTTTTCGTGTCCTCCTCCATAAATAATATATATATATATTTAGAGCCTCATAGTTGTTTGATCTTGATTGTATGGATGTCAGTGAGCACAGAATAAATAATAATGTACATTGTTTATGGTTCATTTACACAAGTCAGATCAAGATATTGGGCAATTGGATGACTCTGGACCTTAAAGTTTATGAGCATAGAGACACATGGAAACCTCACTCTTTTTTTGGAATAATGTTACTAGAAAATTACATTGAGAATTTACAAATGATTCAAGAAATTGTATAAATCAATAAAGCATTTATGATTTTATTTGTTTCACTTGTGTTGTTCACAAACAAGGATCTTAGCATTCATAAGAAAATGGTGGTAGATCATTGTAACTCGTTGCAGTGGAATGAGTTCCACTTCAACTAGTCCCAAGTTAGCATCACAGAAAGAAAAAAAAGAAAGAAATTGCCCATAAAGTAATTGAAATAGAAAAATATACAAAGAAGCCATTTACTTTTTGTACAAAGAGGTCACATATACTCTTGTCCATTCAATTTCAAATTAGATAGTTGTAAGAGTGTCATTGACTAGACTCAAAGTTTTCTTTTAAAAAAAATTTGAACTTCATGACATATCTCATACTATCTAGTTTGACTTTTAATGACTATGTGTACTTGTGATCTCCTTATAACAAAGATAAATAGTCTCATAGCATACAATCCCAAGTTAAAATACCTCAAAGTAAGTCTTGATTTTACCTTGATCAGCATGATCCTCAAATTTGAGCACACATATGTAAGATTATGTACTTTGGGAAATAAGCTAATTATGAGTTTTTTTTAATTCGAAAGTTTGAGATCCACTTTATATCTCCAAATAAATACTCCTTGAAGAAAAAAAATAAGGGAAAAGTCTATGTAGAGCCGAGGCTCCAAAGATTCAACTTTGAGCCTACCTCAAAAATTTCATTAGAAGAGGCTGTTTTGATGCACAAATATCCTCAAATTGATCATGTCGACATCAAGATACATGGACTCGATAAAAAAACGGATTTCAACTTTTGAAAATAATGCGTCTTCTAATGGTTGGTCTATTGGCGATGTTACATCTCTGTAACCTAAAACTACTCCTCGGTTAGATTTTAGCCGAGGGAGTAGATGGAAAATATGTTCCTACGGGACCATGAAATCTTTCCGCAAATTATAATATACAATCCAATTCCTTGAATATATATGAAAAAATTAGTAATTTCTAGGAGTCGATTTGCCATCTATGGTTTAGCTATCAATTTTAGGGTTTCGACATTACACTTTTGAAAGAATCCAGCTTGCCTCTCTTTTTTGTTTCACGAGGGGGCACACGGGTCTCATGTTACACATTGAAAAGGTATGTATGTTAGACACGGGCATGGTTATTAAAGATGATTTTCGAAGTAAAATTTTGCGATTCTTATCATCTAGAACCACTGATTTAGAACATGGATTAGACATCTCAAAAACAAGTCCAAATCGGTGAATCGAAAGTCTGGATGCGAAAAAAACAATGAAAAAGCTAAAAAAATAGGTGAAAAAATAGTGAACTGACCAAAAACTGGTTCGAATCGGTGAATCGATGGTCCAAATTGTTGTTTTATTGTAAAGACTAGACTCAACCATTTTCCTATATAAATGTATAATCGGAACAGGGTGACCGATTTTTAGGTCGGTTCGGACGATTCCGTGTTGATTCGACATTTTTTAAATCATTGAAATGAAAATAATCATGAACGTTGAAGAAAAAAAAAAGAAATAAAAGTGAGCCTATGTGCTTTTATGTTGAATCATTCATTTTAACTATTCAAATATCAACATATGTGCATTAGAGCTCCAAACTCTTGAATCCAAGGGGAAAATGGATTCATAACGGTCTATCACGAGTGAATAAACCAATTTAATAAATACTTTTCCTTATTATAGTAAACTTTATCAAAGTCACAGATCTTAGGAGTCATTTGGCTATGAGTGAAACAAAAAAAATCGGCGCCCTCTTTTAATTTTTTTATTTTTATTTTTAAAATATTGTTTCGAATCACCAATTCAAGCTGATATGAATTGACTATTCAACAATTTAATACAAGATCCGTGGATGGACAATCCATTTTTCCAATGCTTAAAAAAAACTTCATTCCATCCAAAACCCAAGTTATCATCCAAAATCCAAATTTTGGATAAGCATACTTTATTGGAAAGAAAAGAAAAAAGAAAGGCCACTTTAGAAAACGTTAGGAGGAAATAGGCTCAATATTAGATGGTTATGAGAGCTGGGTGTTATAACACGACGTCTTGAGTTTTACAGAAGATCCATCGCTCACCAACACCTCAGGGATTATTTGGTTAATTGGATTCAGATGTTCAGGAGTCACCTTTCCTGGAAAAGCTAGGGTGATCATTTGGTTAATTGGATTCAGATGTTCAGGAGTCACCTTTCCTGGAAAATCTGGGGCAATCTTATTTGCTTTGTTAGAAATGAAATTTCCATGGGATTTTTGAATGCTCATTTAAAGCGTAAATTTTAGAAATCTTAATTCTACCAAAATAGGTGGAATTGACATTTCATGGAAATAATCCATTTTGCTATTGAATAACAAAAACTATATCAAATTTTGCTATTAAATTTGAGAGAGAGAAACTATATCAAAATTTTGAGAGAAATATCTCAAAACATTTAAAGAGAGAAATTATGTCAAATTTTAAGTTTTAGAGAGAGAGACATATCAAAATTTTAGAGACTAGAAACTATATCAAATTTTAGAGAGATAAATTACTTGAAAATTTTAGAGAAAAAAACTATCTCAACTTTAAAATTTTAGAATGACAGAATATCTTAAAACTTTAAAGAGAGAAGCCATATCAAATTTTAGATAGAGAAAGTACTTGAAATATTTAGAGATAGAAACTACTTAAAAATTTTTGATAGAGAAACTATCTCAAATTTTAAGTTTTAGAGATAGACAGTATATTAAAATTTTAGATAAATAAACTACTTGAAATTTTAGAGAGATAAACTATCTCAAGTTTTAAGTTTTATAGAGAGAGAATATCTTAAAAATTTAGAGAGAGAACCTATATAAAATTTTAGATAGATAAAGTACTTAAAATTTTTGAAGAGCTAAACTATTTGAAAAAATTTAGATAGAGAAACTATCTCAAATTTAAGTTTTAGATAGAGAAAGTATATTAAATTTTTTAGAGAGATAAACTATCTAAAAATTTTAGAGAGATAAACTATCTAAAAATTTTAGAGAGATAAACTACCTCAAATTTTAAGTTTTAGAGAGAGAAAACATCTTAAAATTTTAGAGAGAGTAACTATATCAAATTTTAGAGTGAGAAAGTACCTAAAGTTTCTTAGAGAGAGAAACTATCTCAATTTTTTTTAGAAATAAACTATCTCAAATTTTAAGTTTTAGATAGAGAAAGTCCCTTAAAATTTAGAGAGAGAAACTATATTATACTTTAGAGAGAGAGAGACTACCTGAAATTGTTTAGAGAGAGACATTATATGAAATTGGTTAGAGAGAAAAATTATCTCAACATCTTTATAGAGAGAAACTATATCAAAATGTAAATTGTAAAGAGAGAAAGTATCTCAAAATTTTAGAGAGGTAAACTCTATCAAATTTTAGAGAGATAAAGTATATACATTTTTTAGAGAGAGAAAATATTTCAAATTATAATTTTTTGAAAGAGTAGTAAAATTTTAGAGAGAAAAACTATCTCAAAATTTTTAGAGAGAGAAAGAATTTGTATTTCTATTTTTCTTTTTTCAGATAATCCAAATAGGGAATTTGCATTTTCTTAATTTCTACCCGATGCGAGCCAAATATAGAATTGACATCTCGAGGAAATTCCAATTCCAAGATTGACTTTTTCAATGATTGAAAAATCCAGAGATCCAAACGAGCCTTAAAAGAAAAAATAATGGAAGTATTGAACACACTCGCCAGCAGAAATAAATATTCTACGAAAAAACTTTATATAAGGTTGCAAATAAAATTACCGCCTTGCAACATTTTACATAATCGTTTTACCGCTCTCAAGGCTCAAATGCGAATTAATTAAGGTGTGGTTTGTATACGGCTGAGGCACTAAACAATCAAAGTAAGGTGTACCTTCAAACAATATCAAAAGATGTTGTTTTAGTATTATAATTATTTATGATGGTTTGAAAATTTATATTCATATCTAATTATAATATTTAAAGTTTAAAAAATTAGTGTAAATCGAACACATCTATAAACACTTAAAAATTTTACAAATTGATGATCCAAAAAATATATTACATGGTACACTATTTTCATAACTTGAAATTCTTTTTTTTTTATTCCGTACATCTTAAGATCGAGATGATCGATTTGATAATTTCTAAGCATCGAAACAAATGAATTTTTGAGATACGCCTTAATTTGATTGTATATGGCCTCACCCTTGTATAGGCTTTTTCCACATATATAACGCAAAGCGACCACCGTGCGAAAAGTAAGTTAACGGGAATGAGCAGTACACGTGGCGCTGCATGAGCCATGCTGATGCATCGGTGGCGCTCTTAGCTTCCTACCTCCTATAGCGATCGGGTATTATAGCCACCTCTATTTTTGCTAATACCACCCAAAAGAGAATGGAAAATAGTTTTTTGGATGATTTTTTTTTTTCTTTTTGCATGATTCAATGGGGAGAATATCCCTTTACTCTGACGTTTGTAGGACTCAGGCCTGGGAACCGAACATCGTTAATTCTATCGCCTGACATATTTGCCAATTTTTTCGAGGATTTTCCTTAAACGCCATTAAAAGATGGCAATTTATTCCTTGCAAACCATCTCATTTTCCATGCTATGTCATAAGCGAGCTTGCGATATCACCATTCCAAACCAATGCTTGAAAAATTGGATTAGATGATGGATTATCGCCTCACTGGTTATGTGTTAGATTATTAAATTATTGATTTAAATCGTCTAAATCAACAATCCTAAAACTTTATTTAAAAAAAATTAAAACAAAATAAAATAGTTGTAGATGGCTTTTAAACAGTGAATACATGGTCACATCAATTAATTTTTTAAAAAGAAATTAGGGGAACCAGCTAGTTCTGATGCTTGAACAAAAGAAAGGAAGGGCTTTAGGGGAACCAGCTAGTTCTGATGCTTGAACAAAACCACTTCAATTCCCACTAATTGTCGATCTGCATTGTTAATTTTGAATTAGAACATTTTTCTTATTTTTCTATATGTATTATTACAAGATAAAAAAAAAAAACTCGAAATTCTAAAGGAATAGGCTCAGGATGATAGGGCTCGACGGGGTTGTGTGCCAGACTTATCCAAGCCCAAAGGTTAATTTACCTTCGCCCTATTTATTTTAGAGAAAATTAGAAAATTACAAACACACACACGCACATTTTTTGCGACCACTCCCACCTAAAAAAGTACATTGTTTAGAAGAAAATACCCCTTCTCAAAGGTTAATATTGTTATTATTCTTGAAGTCAGTCCGATATACAAGTTAATGAAGCTAGTCCAGCACAATATGTGCAGGACCAACTACTAGCATCTATTAAAGCCGGTTTGCCACACATTATGCTAGACCAACTACATTGTATATGTAGCCATTCTCGCATAATGTATGCCAAATTCGTTTCACTAAAAACAAGTTAGTTCACCACAAACTATGTCAGACCGTATTTATTGTTATAATGAAAAAAGTCTGTCCCAAATTTGTGCCATGTCGACTTCAATAAAAATAAATAAAACAAAACAAATAGAATATGTATCTAATTAAGGGTATTTTTATGCAAAAAATATAACCTTTTTATTTTGGAGAGTGGATGCAACAAAAAATAGTTTTTTGTGATGTTGTATAAAAAAGTCTCGGGTTTTTTTATAATTTTCCTTTATGGGTGGGAATAACAAGGATACAGGTGAGAATAGTGAATATTTTGTGGCGTTCCCGAACCGCCAATTTTTAATATTTCAGGTTTTAAAAATCCGCTGCCGAAACAAAAATCCGGTTTTTAAAAAACCGTATTGGGATTCCACTGATTTTTTTGTTTTTTCAATCTCCATGCCTCACTCTCGCACCACTGAAGTCGTTCATGGCTTTTTCTCCAAAAGCCGCACAAAAAGAGATCCCTAATCTTCCTTGTTTTTGACGAGATCTTTTCCCATAAATATCTCACTGCATCGAGGATATTTTTTATCATATTCTCTTTCTCTCGCTGTCTTCTTCTTCTCCTTCTTTTATCGCACCATTTTCGCTCAAACCAAATTTCAAACTTCTCAGTGATTCATTTATCGTTTTCTCCATTAATTTATCGCGTCTTGTTCTGATTAAATAGAATTTCACTGTAAAACGGTTTTTCAGTGAGTTCTAGTCGTTTTTGGTCAGATTTTTGGCCCCTTTTGGCGGGACTACAACTTTGCTGTGTTTTCTAACTCCATTTTGACGGGAATTGGAAGAAAAGCGGTTTTACTGTAAATTTCGGCTGTTTTTCCCTCGTTTTTGGCGGTTTTCGGTGGTTCTTGATTACTGTAAGGTATTCGACCTCGGTCTTCTATCTATTGTTGGGAGAATTCATAGAAATCGGGAAATGAGCGCTGGATCTGGGCCATTATTGGCAATTGAGCTTAAATTTTAGAGCTATTTTATATTTGAAAGGTAAATTCTGTCTCTGTATTAGATAAAGCGAAATTATACTATTTACAGTTCTGTACGGTTTGTATAGAACCTAAGCTCTAAACAATCAAATTAGAGCCTACCTTTAACTAGTGTCGAGAAAAATGGTTTCGAACATTGTAAATTTTTGTGATAGCCTTAAAATATATTTTCATCTTTTTTTATAAAGTTTAGAGCTTCAAATATGGTGTGGATCGACAGATCTATGAAAACCTGAAAATATTGAAAATTGACGGTCAACAAATGCATTACAAAATATACTGTTTCTAAAGCTTGAAATCAATTTTTTTCTCACGTACATGCATCTTGATGTCGAGATGGCGGATTTAAGGATTTTTGGGCATCAAAACAATCATATTAAGTGAAATTTTTGAACTAGGCTCGAATGTGATTGTTTAGAGTCTCGGCTCTATATAAACTTCTCCCTTTAATGTTAGCCAGTATCTGTATGGTATGATAAATAGTCAAGGAGTCAATTCTTATCGTTATGTACTTTCATTTTCATTTGTTTCAAGCAAATTCATGTGTGCAGCTATTTAAAGATTCCTGATACAGAGACGAACTGTGTATATGTTTTTATAACAATTGCTTCAATTAGAGTAATTTTTCATTTATCATTCAGTTGTATCTGAGTAACCCCTTAGTTTTGCTTACATATTCATATTTGAGGGATCCAGAGGTTTGAATTTGCTTATGTGTTTGATATTTTTTGCAATAATATTTTATATTTATACTGGAATTTCATTTTTATTCATATTTTATTTGATTTCTTGAGTATTTGACGCTTAATCTACTGGTTCATCAAGAGGTAGAGACCAAGAGGTAGAGACTAGAGAAACCACTGTGTAATATCAGCCTTTTGCTTCAATTAACAACTGATTTTTTGCTTTTTATTCATTTGTATTGCAATTTTTTCTGGAAGTTTCAGAGTCAAGAGTTTGGAGTCCTCTGTATAATATTTTACAAATTTTAAAAATATATACTTCGGCAAATTATGCAATGTGGCAGTGGCTGAATTAAATGATACTGCTGGTGTTCAATTCATGGAGCTAGCTTTTTCCTTTCTTATTGGCTTTGTATTTGGCGAGGTAAGCTCATATACATCCCATCACAAGCTAGGATGGTCAAGCCGTATGTATTTCCAAGAACGTTTGCCTTGCTTATTGAAAATGACCATTTCAAGCTAACTGAAAATCAACGTGCATATGCATGCATTGATTCATGCATTCATAAACGCGTAATCCTCTTTTTCTTTCTCATTAGAAACTTGTACTCAATCAAATATAAATGGCTGGAGAGATAATTTAACATAAGGTGTTATTGCTTTTTCAAATGTGCTTGTGAAAGCCTGACTTAGAAACTTAACAAGACAACAAATTTTGTGGTTCATTTGGGATAAGGGTGGTTTATGTCTATGTGGTTCTGTTATGATGTGATGTATGCTTATGAGAATGAATATCATTATTATCCTAGGTGCTTCTCTTTATCAGACTTTGAGCAGTGAGGTTGGTGTCTTCCTCAACAACAACTATGGCAACCACTGCCAAAGTCAATGGTTCTTCCGTGGATGTTGCTTCTCAGAAGGTTCCTTCCATAGCTCATCCTGTTGCAGTGGAGGCATCAGAAATAGCATCAAACATCAATTACCATGCGAAATATAGCCCTCATTTCACTCCTTTCAACTTTGCACCAGAGCAAGCATATTATGCCACTGCAGAGAGTGTTCGCGACCAACTTATTCAAGTATAAAGTTTTGAACTTTCAGCATCTATTAGTAGCATTATTAATTTATAATTTTGGATGATATTACTCAGTTAAATTTTTCATTCAGTCGAATGATCTTGATTGTGTAGAGCTTGAAACCTCAAGCATGTTTACTACGATGTTTCTAATTTTACCATTTTGTGTCCACTTTTTCAGCGGTGGAATGAAACTTACTACCATTTTCACAAAGTTGATCCAAAGCAGACATATTACCTGTCAATGGAATTTCTTCAAGGCCGAGCTTTAACAAATGCCATTGGTAACCTTGGTATTCTAGGTCAATATGCTGATGCTTTGAACAAATTGGGGCATGACCTTGAGGACATAGCGGAGCAGGTATTCTTCCTCAAGTAACAGTACGCCTAATGATGTTGATCTCCCACACTCTGAATATCAACTGAATAACATGCCTAATGAACAACTTTTTTTATGCGACAAAGTTAATCGACTTCCCCCATCTCTTATTTTACAAATATCATATGTTGTTGCGAGGGGTTTAAATGTCACGAGGCTTATTAATTTTCTTATCGCATTTTGTATTCCTTGTTTGCTATTTAATCTGAGGATTGAATTACTAGTTAGCTCTAGTGTCTCTAACATGGGTTGGCATGATCCTGATTTCTGGTCCTTGCTACCTATGGTGTAGGAGAAAGATGCAGCGCTGGGTAATGGAGGCTTGGGTAGACTTGCCTCTTGTTTTTTAGATTCAATGGCTACTTTGAATCTTCCTGCAGGGGGTTATGGCTTGCGATACAGATATGGACTGTTTAAACAGAGGATTACAAAGGATGGCCAAGAAGAAGTTGCTGAAGACTGGCTTGAGGTTTGGACTATTGAACTGCCTTATCTTTTTTACCGGAAGTTATTTCGTTTAGTTGCATTTTTTACTAGCCACCTTTGTGTCTCATACAGAAGTTCTGTCCATGGGAGGTTGTCAGGCATGATGTCATTTTTCCTGTGAGATTTTATGGCCATGTGGAGGTTCGTAAGGATGGATTGTAAGTTTCCCTATTTCCTAGTGCTATATGTAATAAACTCAGTATATGATTTACGATTTAAAAGTTATTGGATATTTTATAATCATATTACTCTTGATTTAGCATGTAAATTCACAACAATAATGACTTCCATCGTTCTATTTTATTGCTTCTTGATTATTTTGTGTGTTTTATGAGCAGTCGAAAATGGGTAGGAGGAGAGGTGATTCACGCATTGGCATATGATGTGCCCATTCCTGGTTATAGGACCAAAAATACAATCAGTCTTCGCCTTTGGGAAGCAAAAGCTGTTGCAGAGGATTTCAACCTTTCTCATTTTAATGAGGCATTATATGAATCTGCCGCCCATCTTCATTCGAAAGCTCAGCAGGTAATTATTCATTGTTTTAGAAATCCTAGTCATCATTTAGTCTTCAGATTTCCAATAGCCACACATGCTACATTGACGAGATTGGACACGTATGCTGAATTTTTTATGTTTTGAATTCTTTACACTTTTAAGTGGGAAAGCCATAGTTGTTGGAGGTGGGAGGGGGATCGGTTCTGGGAATGCTGAACCACCATAGGGTGGAAGCTCCCTAGGGTTAGGATCGGCGTCCGTACATTCAACAAGTTAAGGAGCTAGATCCTGGGATACCTAGGAATGAGATCCCATGTCACTAGGATCAAGGTTTTGAATTGGAGGGATTTAAGCTCCACTATACATAAAACGATATCAATTAATAGTATATGATAAAATTAGGATAGTGCAATTGCATTCATGATCCACTATCGTACACCTTAGCTTATTACCAATGCCATAGTTATAGCCGTAGACACTCCCATTTTCTACAATAACACGGTTTAATAATATCATAAATTGGCTTATTATGATATTAAATATTAGTTTTCTGATATCATAATTCCCACAATTTGATATGCACTGCAATTTAACATATTCTAAAAAATTAAATCTCTAATACCAAGGACCTAGTTCAATTAATAGTATAGCCCCTCTCCTTGGAGGGATCCTACAAGCATGTAGACCGAGATCCCATTTTACAGGGAATGAGATCCCTATTTCTCTAAACCCAGCTCCCTTTAAGACCCCTTATAGAAACTACAGGATCGAGTTCCTAAGGTGGGACTGTGGCCTTATCGCCAAGGTTCCCACAACTATGGGGAAAGCTGCATCGATTGATTAATGCTTCACATAAGTTCATGGAGATCCAAGGATTCTGGTTTTTTGTTATCTGACCTTTTTTCCTTGTGTTTAATATATATATATATATATATATATATATATATAGTTGCGTACGTAACAAATAAAACTGACAGATATGCGTCTTGTTTGTTACTCGTGGGATCGCCACAGAAGATAGGAAACG